TGCGGTTTGCTGTGTTCTCTTTCTCGGTTATACATGATGCAATGAGGCTTTGTGTAAAGTAAGTAAGTGTGCCACCTAGTGGTTATTTGTCTTGGTTGAGAGATGGCCTGCTGGTGTCAAGAGGGCTGGACAAAGAGATAGCAATGTTAGAGTAAAGTCCTCTAAAGGGGATCATCCAAACAATGCCCACACATGAGGATGTTCTTACTAAACTGATAGCTCTATTATTATATCCAAAAGTATTTAGCAACACTGAGGATTGCCGGCACTACAAATACAGCAGGTCCACTGGCTGTGACTACTTTCGGACCCGTGACATTATTCATAACAAGTCCACAAGAGGGGAAATGAAGGAACGGCACAACATGAGCAGAAAAGCTGACTGAACTATGACTGAGTTGTTCAAAGAGAAAACTCTGTGCTCTCACAGGCACAACTTCTCTTTCCAGTCATCGGTGTCCAGAAGGGGGCGACAGGCCCGCGTGCTGTGCTATAGAGGTTTAGAACTATCCAAGAAGTAGGACTCATTGACACGCACACGCACCCACACACACACACACACACACACACACACACACACACACACACACACACACACACACACACACACACAGACTTGTATGCCCCTTGCCTGCTTTCAAAGCACCACCATGACAATTTTCAGATAGTTCCGACAATTGCAGACTGAACATGACAAACTGCACATTGTATTTTGTGGTAAGTTGTATGTTACACTCTTTCATTCTGTATATTCTTACATACATTGTTAATTAACAGCATTTTTGGCCCATGTGATTGGCCTGTACCCCATTATAAGTGCATTTTATAGGCGTGTTTATTAGGTGTTTTAATGGCTCTCTTGCACCGACAATTGGAGTTAACTCAAAGCAATCTGTGCTTTCCCCTTTGGCACATCACACTTTAAACGCTTCCCAAAGTCAAACATTTGTATTTTCCACTTCTGTGTGTGCACGTGCGTGTGTGGGTGTTTGTTTGTGAGGTACAGTACCGGTTCGTGGAAGTGTTGCTGTGTGATTTCTTTCTCCCCCTCCTCCCTTGTCCTTAAGGAGAGTACTTGCCTGTGATTGGACTTCGCCTGCTCCGGTATGAACCAGTGTGGTGGCAGATCCCAGCAGCCAATGGGAGTGAAGCCTGCATGATAATACCCTCTGTGGACATTAAACAGGTTTCTGGGCTGGTTCCCAGCTCCCTCGCAGATACTGCACCACCTCTGGCCCCTCATTCACAAATCGAGAGCATCCAGTCAGCTTTCATTACTCGTGTTAAAAACAACTGTGATCGCCAAAGAAATCTATTGAGATGTCAACAAACTTAACTACGTCATTAACACGTCTATATTTTTATCTGCACTAGGGTAGATTAGATCCAATCTTTTATAGAAGTAAAGGGAGCAGCATGATGTAGAACTATCGTTGAGTCAAGTGGGATTGTCCCAACACGAAATTGTTGTTTTATTATTTGTGTATAATAACTGCTGCATTAATGGGTATGCAGCACTTTGATATTTTAGATTATGTATTTTCTACATGTAGACATTCTTCTAAATAGACAGGCTATTGATCTACTAACGCATGAATAGTTTTACATAAATAAAAGAAGACACGTTGTTTCTGATAGTTTGTTAATAGTTAACCTAATTCCCATGCCCATACCCATCCGTGCAGTTCCCCATTAACTCTCCCTTTGGGTTTGTGTGCTCCTGTTGGTGTTGCCCGGGCATAGTTTTCTGATTGGCATCTGCTCATCGCCAATCAAGACACCTCCAATTTGTGCCGCAGAATAGTCCAGTTCAGTCTCCCCCTCATCGACAGACGTTTTGTGCTTGTACCTTTCTTGAGAATGCACATCATTGTTAGTTTTTCCTTGGGTCCAGTTCGCTGGAATCCAGCCTCCCTTTTCTCCTCTGTTGGACCCCTCCTACAGACTCATGGGAAATACCTATGTGGTTGGTGCCACCAACTCTCTCCAGCAACACTTCAAAAACTTCAGACAACTCACTCTCCATTTTACACTGTAATTCGGTCTCATTGTTTTTTGCGTCCCATGGATCCAAGTACAACTACCGCCGTTACAATAATGAGTTTGTAGCATAAAAATGTCATAGTATCCAAAAAAGATTTTATCACACTTGTTTTATCGTATAATATACTATCAATTTTATTGGGAATTTTGTCGCAAAATAAATTCAATACATACATACTCATGCAAGTTCCAAATCTTTTAATAAATACACTGTTCCCACAAGAGGAAGACTATCTTGTTGGAGAGGAGATACTGTTCTTTTTTCAGATTTTTGTTTGTTCTTAAACTGGATGGGACTTATTGTAAGTCGCTTTGGATAAAAGCGTTAGCTAAATGACCTGTAATGTAATCCAAAAACAATCTGTTTCCATGGTAATTGCTGCTGTTCCCTATATGAAACCATAAATCAACGAGAAGTGACCTTGTGGTCAGCCATACCAACGGTTTTGCGAGGGTCTATAAACTCTGCTCATTGCCGTTAGCTGTCCAACGAGGCCTCGGCTCAGAAGCTCTGTAATCCAGAACAGAAAAATAGGGATTGTCAGACTTAATAAAACTATAAAACATGAAACCATAATGTATAACAATGAGTATCGTCTTGGTGGGCCTGCCCTCTGTTAGTTGATAAATCGACTAATGGGTAATTTTGCTCTCAGTAAACTGAGATTTTTCAATTGGGTGATAATTCAATTTGACATACACATATTAGTGAATTTATCTAAGTAAATAAACTGTGGGTGGGTGGGGAGCACGGTCATCCTCCAATCAGAGGATTGGCGGTTTAATCGCAGGCCCTGCTAACATGCCTGCAATTTGTCCCTGGGCAAGACCCTTAACACAAACATTGCTCCTGTTCAGTGTGTGATTGATGGGCAGGTGTCACTGTGTATCGTCCTGTCATCAGTGTGTGAATGAATGATGTAGTGTTAAAGCGCTTTGAGTGGTAGAAAGAATAGAGATATACAAGCAGTCCATTTCCCATGTATGTATAATGTCTATATTTTTCAACAAAAAACATAAGATTTTATATATATATATATATTTTACAAATTGATTTGATTGAATATTGATAGATCTGACAGTACAATTTTTTGTTCTCCAATAAATACTTTTTTTCCCACAGCACCCTTTCTTAATAAATGTGATGGCCTGAATATATATAAAAAAAACAGTATCAAAACAAATGTGTCTGTGTGTAATTTCCGCCTGTACATTAAATCAAAAAGCCATGATGTGTGGTTTCATAATAAGTACATATTTTAATAATCAAATGGCTCTGAGGTGGAGGGCCGATATCAGAGCACTTATTTGGTCCAAACAACAGGTGAAAAAAGAGATACCCAATGTATGAGGAAGACACATAAAAAGGGCCTGAGAATAGTTGTGTACCTACAGTCTGGGGCCCGCGGGCTGATGGGAAGTACCTGACTGAACCATCTCATGGCCTCTGGATAACAAGAGAAGATAAGGGCCTCTTGGGATGTTTCTCCTAAGGAAAGGTGCTGTTTGAACAAACCGACGGGGACACGCTGCTGTAATGATTGAAGCTGATTATTTAAAGTTGTAAACAATCTTAGCCTTTTTACCCCACGCCGTCACCAGTCATTAGTTATGATCCACGGGGTCTCCACAGGAGCCTATTGATCACTCGTAGACTGATTGATTTAGACAAATACTTTTTTCTCTCAGAGTGCGAGGTCGAGTCGCTCTCTCCCTGTTAATTGAAGATAACTGAGTGGTAACAATGGCCCCCGTAAAAGAATGAGAGTTTTGTGATTATCGCTGCAGAAAGAAAAGAAAATGCAGAGGCAGGGGAGGAGGACGAGGAGCAGAAGGGGGAGGGTAGGGTGAGGGGAGGAGGAGGAGGTGGAGGAGGAGGAGGAGGGGGGCGGCACTCTAATTAGGAAGCGGGGCGGTGTGGAAGCCATGGCCGGCAGGCAGGCGACAGGCGCCGGGTCCGGGACAAAAGGCTGTCTGCTGCCCTAAACTCCCCCTGCTTAACCCCCTAAACCGAGACACACATACGCAGTCACACGCACAGTGCTGCTGCATCACACACAGCTCTCTCTCTCTCTCTCTCTCTCTCTCTCTCTCTCTCTCTCTCTCTCTCTCTCTCTCTCTCTCTCACGCAAACACACACGCATGCAGACGTGTCTCACTTATTTTTAAAGTACTTCACTTGACCAATGCTTTAATTGTGAAGGAAGAAAATGTTAAAAACCACGTGGTCTTGTAGTGGGAATAATGAATATCACGTGGTATCATTGCACATTGAGGCCATGTACTTTCATATTCCCCGATAAGCTGCCAGCAGAGTTTGGAGTTGGCTAAAGTTGCTTCGGAGGATGTGTGTGAGAGAAAGCTCTTCCCATAAATACTTACATTACTCGACTCTTTCTAAAAATACGGACAGCCACACAATACTAACGGAAATGCTGATTGACGGTGACGGAGGAGCTGCTCTAAATAGACCTGAGCGGCGCTGCATGCAGGAGACAGACGCATAATAAATAGAAATACATTCATTCTTTGCTTCTATTGCAAAGAAATACAATCGAATCAAAGAGAAAAGTTATCTATTTCCTTCTATTGGTCAATTAAAGCTGGTACAGTAGGATTTAATATTCACTGCTGTGGATTTGATACAAAACGAAGAGCAACAAATGTCATAAAATCTAAATGTATTTTGAATTAAACCATTAAAACATGTTCTTGTCAAATTAAACAAAGCACATGCACTTTTATTATGTCAAGGAACTGACCGACAGGGGGCGCACCTGTCCCACGTGTGCTTTTGTGTGCGCACTGTGTGTCAAAGCATTTAAGCTCACTTATTTTTAAAAACGGTGTCTGTTTTACTCGAATTAGATAACACACATTATATCAAGTTATTGCATTGTTATTATTAAGATTAAACACAATAATAATAATACCGAATAATAATAAGGAGGCGCCTCCAAGCTTTCAGCACAACGATTTTTTATTGAAATTGTGAGACAATCAAAAAAACAAAAACAAAAAAACAGCATAAACAAGATACTTTCTTCTTTAAATATATTTTTGAATAGATATGAATGATGCGCCCGTAGGAGGAATTGCTTTGAATGTCTCCTGGCTGGAGTGAAATAACCTGAGGTGTTTTTGAATCCATGTGGAGCTCTTTCTCTGTTCCTCTGTCTTTGTCGGTGGATGCAGACTAAAACATGGCACACACGTCACCTAAAAATCAGCGATGCTTCATAAACAGTTTTTCAAACCAACAAGCGCTAAATAGCTTTCATTTACAGTTCATACGTTCATGTAAAATGGGAGAGAAGAGGAGGAGGAGAAAAAAAGTAACAAGTTCAATTCGAAATATATACACGCTAATATACAGCCTTGAATAAATTAATACCAATTGCATAATCTTGGATCTTAGCTTTATTTACAGATTTTTTTAATCTTTAATTACATAAATAGTTCCGATTTTTTTTTCTGGCATGAAATGATAAGCGGTTGTGTGTTCCTCTCGCAGAGCGTTAACCTTCCATGCCCTTTTGAAATAATCAGGCCTGGGAAAAAAACGTTTTTGGATGCAGCTTGAGACGTGCTTCTTGGAACTAGGCCGAGACTCTCCAATGCTTCAAAGTTACGCGAACGCACCACGCCGCTCTCCGCTGTGCGGTGCGCTATTCAGTCTGCGGGGCTGCAGGCTCAGGCGGGTTAGACCGATAGATGGGGCCGATACCGACCCTCTGTTACAATGGATACCGTAATGTTTCACAGTCTACATATTTATAGAATGGATAAGTCCTTTTCATCTCGCCATTATATTACTATTTCATTGTCTAAAATGTGTTTCACACTGTGTACCTCATTGTTTTGGGTTATAGTATTTTAACGTGGGACTGTGCCCCATAGTATTTTGTATGTGGGAGCCTGCATTGAAGAGCCGTTAGCCCCAAAACACTTTCAGGGGAACGTGTGTGTTTGATGACGGTCAAAATGTTGTTTGACATCCTTTTCATCCTACCTGGTAAGCTACGGAGGAGACCCTTAATACTCGTGGTTTTAAAAGATTAAATTGATTTAAACGGGCAACAGTTTTGTCTACCTGCCGTTTTGTTCCAAAAAATACCGGGTATAGGCCTTCACAGGACCCATATCGGTCAAACCTGAGCCCAGTCTCCCTAATGTGCTGTACAGGACAAATGCACGTATAGTCCTCCGGTATTCAAGCCAAGTTTTCATCCCAAACCGAAAGTGTTCATCACTTGGGAGAGTCTGCAGTCGGGGAGAGCTCCCGCTGGCTCTCTAGGCCGCTCACGAGCCTCTGGATGCTTTGCAGTTCATTTACTGAGTCCTTCATAGAGGTTTTGGGAGATGCAACCCTCCCACTTGAGCCTCCTGTCTTATGGTTGCTGTGGTGCTCTGGTGCTGGGCTGGTCTCCCTGCTGCCCGGCTTGGAGGATTCTGAGCCTAGGTTCAGGCCGCCCTGCAGGCCGGCAGCGAGCAGGCTCTGAGGAAGCGACACGGGCAGCTGGTACGGGTTGAAGCGGAGCCGGGGACGTGACGTGGTCAGGAAGGGGTTCCTGGAGAGTGGGCCGGAGGTGGCTGGGAGGGCAGAGGCAGAGGCAGCCGCTGCAGCCGCTGCCATGTAGGTGTAGGGATATGGGAACAGACCGCCAAACGGAGGCATGGGGATGCCCTGGAATAAGCAAGAGAAAAGACTACAGTTACACATCACAATTTCCGGTCAAATTTTCATTGATAAAAGCATTTAGACATTTTTTTTCATCACAAAAACAGGTCTATTTCTTCAGAATTTTAAAACACATTTTTAACTTTATGAAAGTAAAAGTGACAGATGTTTCATTTTGCCACAAAATGATTTCTACAAATGGTTGACGCCACAGAAGCAAATCGAGGAAGTAGTTTGATTACTGTTTATCATTGAATCCTCAGCCGTTCATTTCTAATCATTTCAAGGAGTCCAATGTGTTTACATGCATACATGACATTTTGCCTCAATGATCATATTCTTAGCAATAAATATAAGACCGCTCGGGTTACATCGTCTGCACTCTCAACACAAAGCTACAACTTTCCTCCCGTGCTGATGTCAACTCAGTCCTGCAGCTGTACAGGGAAACAGAATCAGTTTGAGAATGGAGGACCTTCCTTACCTGAGAGGCGAGCATGTGCTGAGACAGATGGAAGGGGAAGGGGTTGGGGCTTCCCGCTGTGACCTGGGTAGAAAGGCTGCCATTTTCCAACCCACTCGATCCAGATACAGAGGCCAATAGATGCCCCATGCCCATAGCAGAAAAGGCTCCGGGGCCCATGGCAAACTGCCCAGGGTGAAACAACAGTGGTGATCCAGCGCTCATAGGGTTAAAGAACTGCTGACTGTGCAAGCCAGACAGAGCCAGACTTTGCAAGTGACCTGGGCTGAAGTGCGAGGGGCTTTCGGTCTGAACCATAAGAGGGGAGAAGGTCTCCTTAGTGGCACTAATGCCTCCGGACTCCAAGTCCTTTGTCAACACATCCGGGGTGTCCTTCCTGTGCCTGCTCTCCACTTTGTCCTTCTCAAGGTTCCTTATACTGAACATGGAGTCATCCTTCTTTTCTGTTATCGGCCTGTCCCTCACACGCTCCTCACACCTGGAGCTGTAGGGGGACACAGGCTCAGGTCCGGGGCTGTTGGAGCCAGTGCAGCGCTCGTCGTGATGCTCCAGCTCCTGCTCGCTGTCAGTACACGTTTTGTCTTCTGAAATACAGGAAACACATTTTGTTTAAAAGAGCGGCGTTGGCAGAGTGTCAACCTTCTCCTGCATCACAAAAATACACCAATAACTAGGATTGTGTTGTCTTTTTAGTTATATTCATTTTGGCACCCAAATATATTTTCTAAGAGGAACATAAATTCATTTATTGTGTCAGGCCAATAGATGCCACATGCCCAAAGCAGAAAAGGCTCAAAAGCCCATTAACACAAACTTTAGAGAGTATTGTCAACTAAATTCTTAGGCAAGAAAAACAGTATGTTGGTATCAAATAAAGACCCACACCACATTCAATATAGGACAACATTTAGTTTTAAAATAAATCAAATGTTGTTCACACCAACACACGTTTACACAATGTATGATCTCAGTTAGAACATTTTAATGGAACTGTTCTATATTAGCAAATGTCATGGCTGACCATGCATCGTCAAATTATTGTAATTTGAATCTGTTTATTGAACTTTCATGAACTAAAACAGGCACAATGGCGGATCTCAGATGGCCTGTACGCAATTGGTTGCCAGGCGTCCAATAGTGGTGAGAGCTTTTAAACAGCAGGGTAAAAATGGCTGTGATATCCTACTGTTATGGGTGTACGCGAATGCATCTAAATTCGCGTAATCGCAAATTCACGCTCATATGAGTGAAGCTTATTTTTCCGCATTATTTATTATTCTCGCGTTGAGAATTAATTTCCTCCACCCGTTTCCAAACATGTTACAGGCAATTTATCGAAATTTAACGTGACCATTGAATTGGGAAGTTTAATAATTTGCGGTGATTATAACTAAACATCAAAGCTGTAAAAGACTCGAACCATTGTTGAAATACCAGTTGATCAACGAGATCCAGTAAAAAACAACAGGTCATCTTACCTCGACTGGGCCTGCTGAACCTCAGCGGGCTGGTATCGGCTCCCAGCGGGGAGCGGGTGGCGTCTCTGCCGGTCGGAGGCTCACTGGATGAGGCATCCGAGTCCGCGCCATCCCGGTCCGCCTTACACTGGTCCTCAAACATCCGCAGCGACGGCATGGTCAGCTGTTTCCTGTCAAGGAGGAGAGTAATAACACTCGTGAAGGGTGGTTTCAATATGACGCTGTGACACAGTGGCTTTAGACACACGCACACGCGCACACACACGGGGTACACGCAGGTGAGGATATACCTTTTCTCTCTCCTCCCGTTCCCCGTGTCTCTGAATCCTTTGGCAAAGGGGTTGTTGTCAATCTTCAACTGCGTTATCTGTCAAAAAAAAAATACAGTTAGTGAGAATAGATGTGGGAGGAATGGAACGAGAGCTACAAGGCTTCACGCTGCCCGTGCACATTGGGGCCGCCGCTGTGTGTGGATGAACACACACAGAAAGCGGCGTGTTGGACAGAAGCCGCGGCAGGCCTCGGATTTGCATTATTAATAAAAGCCCAATGATGGAGTGTAATTCTCATATGCCCCTGGAGAGAAATTCTGCCACGCAATATTCCTCTATGGGGCCACGCAAGCCCCTGTCCCCCAGAAAAAGAGGCAGAGGGAACAATACTTGGACAGATGATGATTTCAATAATTAATCATGCGGCTTGGATCGCTGCTTCCCTTCGATATGCCCTGCATGGTGGAAGAGGCCGGTGTGGCCCCATATAGGGATGCGCGGCCGGCAAGCGGCCTGCGCGGCTCCTGCGGGAGCGTCTTCCTTCCCGAGGGCCCTGTGGCCCTTGAACAAGACGCTTTAGGCGTTTGCGATTCGGGTCTCGTCCAGTGCGGCTGCGGGGGGACGCGCATTCAAACTGCCCTCTAATCGATGATGACTCTTATAAACTTAAACTCTTATAAAGACCCCCCCCCCACACAACCACCTCCTCCGACCCCTCCAACTGGGTTCATGGAGGAGGATAACGAATTAACAAGAGGCTAATAATACCGTCAGATATAGGATACACATATTTCATTCTCAATTTAAATGTAAATGATGTATTAAATGATTTCCTGAGAAGACAACAATTAAAATAAAGAATGGGCACACGTTACGCTACGTCTTCTGCGGTAAAAATGAAATAAAATAAACATAATGCACATTTGCACATCGACTAAATGGTACATTTCTGCGCAGGGTGATTTAAGGCCCATTAACAACATTATACAATATCTAAAATACCCTCTACCGAGTCCAGGCAAGAAATTAATAAATAAATCAAGTGGGCCATGGGAGTCCTCTGCGGGGAAATTAGGCGACCTACAAAATCAGATTAAGTCTTCGGGGGTTGGCGGGGGGGGGGCGCATGTAGGACATTTATTATGCAGAGTATTATGCATAGCATCCATATTAGAGGCAGTCGGCTTAGTGTGAACAGTGACTCACCTTGTCGTTCTGGTAGGCCGTCACCGCCACGAACTCGGTCTCCGGGAAGACGTAGGTCCTGAAAGTGCTGTAGGGGAGCTTCAGGATGTCGTTGGCCCGCACTATGTGGAACCGGGGCTGGTACTTGTGCATGGAGTTCAGGATGGTCTGGACCAACACACACGAAAAGACACAGCGTTGACGTGAATATGGGTGCATCGTGTGCCTCCTCGAGGCTTCTCCCTGCACCATAAAGTCGTCATCCAGCGCGCTGTTACTGATGCCGTTATAACGAGCGCGCCAGCAGACCTGTGCGTAATTAGCGCGGGGACAACAGAACCCCGTGAGCGGGCCACACATGTCGCCATGCCGGTTCACAATCACGGAGAGGGAAAAAAAGGTGCTTTTGCCTTTACAGTAAATAGTAAAGCCCCCCCCCCTTCCCTACCACACAGAGCAGGAGCCTAGACGCGCGTTTTAAGGTCAAATGTATACTAAGAAATTCACACAAAGCACCAAGCAAATTCCAGATAAAGAGTGTTGAGATAGACTGGGAACCTTTCACCTTAAGGAACACGTATAGGCAGAATAATAAGGCGCGAGCAAATAAGACAATAATACGTGAAGCCAATTGCTGCCTTCAAGCCGGGGGAAATGATTTACACTGACATGTAAACGCGGAATTTGTTTCCAGACGGAAGCTGCACTCTTCCTGACAACGGAGTTTTCGGACATTTGTCACCTACACCTGTTGCTGCTTATTTTGTAAAGGTTGGTGCATGTTTTCAAACCAGTTTAAAAACGAGTAATATGTGGTTAACTGCGATATCATATTTAAGACGAAATAAATAACGTGGCCTAATATAATAGGGAACTTTAACATACACCACAGTATACCATAAATACTATTCCCTAGGAACATCAGTTGTTTCGGTCACTCAAGCAGATTTCACGTAATTTCTCTGCGACCCAAGACTGGCAAACACTCAGCTCGGATAAACTGATTTTTTAGATGAATTAATTTATTACAAATAAATAAAAATATAAAGCGGGGCAATGCAGCGGTGGTTTAGACCGTGCGCAGCAGCAGGCAGTTCGGCCTGCAGGCTGCATGAGTGCAGCTCTCCTGAATGTGGAGAGCAGCAGCGAAACATAAGCTCTGTGAATGTCAGCGGCGGTGGGAAGTCAAGTGGCAACAAAGTGTCAACAGCTTTGGACGCGAAGGCGTTCAACAACATAAATGTAGAACGACGCCTCTTTTTACGATTTCAATTCTCTGGAATTATTTTTGTAACGTGGATAGTAGCTGTGTTTTATTCACAATCCCCCTACAGTAGTTTTCATTTGGATTCAGCACATGCTATGTGCTCGGTTTTTATTTTATTTTTTCCCCGTTTCCCCTAGTTGTGTCTTGTTATTTTTGCGCTGCTGCAACAACACACTTTCTCCATATGCTGCATAAAAAAATGTCATCCGATTTTAAAATACCCAATGCACGTCTGTTCAAACAGCAAACAGCTCATGCAGCACATCTAAAAACAAAAGCCTGTACAGGCTAGAAAAAAAACTCCCACTACTTACAAATCCGTGTTTGTCTGAAATGTTGTTGGTCAACTTGAGTTTATGGAAAGCAACAGGCTTCGCCATCCATTGCTCGCCGGTGGCCGGGCTGTCCGGGTGGATGTACATCCTCTTGGGCATCTCCGGGTCGGCCTTGCCCGCCACCATCCAGCGGGAGTTGTGGAACTTGTAGCGGCAGTCGTCTGCCGCAACGATGTCCATCAGCAGGATGTACTTGGCCTTTTTATCCAGTCCGTTTATTCGTACTTTGAACGGAGGGAACATCCTCCTGCAGAGGAAAAAAACACGCATCTAGTCAACACGGCGGGATTCGACCTGAACGCACCGTCTCACCGCACACAGCTGACCAAAGGAACGCGGACGGAGAACGCGCGGCTCCGACGAGAGGAAATATAGTCTCCAGCAAAACCATGGCGTGTTAGTGTGTGTGTGTGTGTGTGTGTGTGTGTGTGTGAGAGAGAGAGAGGGGAGTATCTGTCTGACTGTCCGCCTGTGTGTGCGAGAATGTATGTATGTGTATGTTGTCCAAACCCTAAACTACAAATACAAGTAGTATATTTATGACCGCGCTTTTTCAAGTGACAGCCTGTTTGTGAACCCGCGCTGCTGCCTCAACACAACGCAGTTTAGGAGCAAAAGGCTGACAAATGGCCGTGTCACATTTTCCCCTTAAATATCACAAATATATGCTTTGATCAGTCTTGAAATATATTTGTATTATTTAAAAAATAATTCACGTTTTATTAATTTCCTTATTTAAAAAAAAATGAAGCCAGTTTAAATCCGAAATATAAACACAGTTTTGAGTCAGGAACTCCATTTGCAACCATATATTTAGTGTATAATCTAAGGTAAGCATGGCATGTTATTGTATTATTCTTCATATTTTTTCATCATATTTTTATGAATTGTTAAACAGGTCAATAATCGGTGGGGAATTTAAAACCTAATATGAAGGCCTTACGCGCATAGCATTTAACAACGTGAATAAATGGCTTTTATCTACTTTTAACGTTTCTGCATTATTAAAGAAAAACTGCGGTTTAAAAAAAAAGGAAACAATGCAGCGCCGGCATATCCATCGGTGAATTCTTACCTTCCGGACTTGGTAATAACCATCTCCGTCCCGAGTTTATGAAATTGGTCCCAAAGATCCTTGGCTTCCAGTGTAACTTTGGGGTCGTCGTCCACTTCCTCCTCGGGTTCCAGGCTCTTCATGCTGCGCAGATGAGCCGCCTGATGGTGGCTTAGGGCCGGGTGGAGCCCAGCCTCCGCCGCCCCGGCCAGGCCGTGGTCCGTAATAGGCTTGGTGAGCGCCCCGGGAGGCAGGCTGAGCGCCGGGAAGAACGAAGGCTGCGCGGCCGCTAAAAAGGCGGACATGGGGAAGTCGGTCGCCCGGTGTGCGTGGAAAGGGTGATAAGCCATTGCAGTCCCTGTGAAAACTGGATCTCTCATCGGTGCATCCACAAAAAAGCGAAGTGAAATAATGGATATGTTAGTGGTAATCCCCCCCCCCCCTGCCCCACAGCGAGAGTAGCTCCGCGCTTCGCGAGCAGTTAATGTGTGTAAAGCGGTGCCGAACAGTACAGCGCTTTGTCGAACACGCGGCGTGTTATCGGGCTGAAAAGGAAACCGCCCGCGGTCGCTGTCGATGTGCTGCTGCTCCTCCGGCTCCTCCGCCGAGTCCCTCAGTGGAAGCTCTGCTGTGAAGGCAGAGCCCGGCTGCGCTGTGTGCCTCTCGGAGAAATCAACCGCTCCTCTGCTTCAGTCATCCCACACTGACGGGAGAGATGTGGCCCCGTTCACTGCAGACCTGTGACTATCTCACATGTCCTTCCTGCCTCCATCCACAACACTAACGAACCAAGCCCCTTTGATTGCTGATTTTACGCTTTCTGGACCAATTGTGGGCCCCTATAGGCGTGGTTCTGACAGCTCCGGTCAGATTCTAGGAGAGAAGAGGGGAGGAGGAGGGGGGGGCAAGGAGGTGTCGGAAGCATTAGCAGTAAGAAAACATGTCAACAGAATAAAATATTAACCAATGACAGGAAAGATCTGGAAATCCCACCCCCATTTCCAAGCCCAACACCCGGTCCGCCCTCAGTGCTTGGCCGGTGGAGGTATCGTCTCTGTCGGCTAGCGTTTCTACAACGTCGCCTCCGGAGAGAACCAGCCCATCCACCGAGTCACTGTTTAAATACTCACCTCTATGCGGAGGCACGGCTCAAATGCTCCACGTCCACCACTGTCATCCCGTAACAACCCATTACAGGCTCAATCCGGCATTCCGGGGAGAATTATTCCAGAGAGCCGCCGCTGTTTATAATAACCGCCTTGTAATTATTACACGTTCTCGGCTGTTTTGACGCGCACGGGCTAAATTGACACCAGCGGCGACCATCCACGTCGGCCGCGCGTACACTGACTTCAGCCCCGGCTTCCCCGCGTCGGGAGCCATTTATCTGCGCGTTGGTCCCGGTCGAGCCGACGGGGAGCAGCGTGAAAAAAAGAGACGAGGCTGGAAAAGACAAACCCAGATGCTGCGCGCAGGAAAAGAGGAAACCACATGAGTGATGATGATGATGATGATGATGATGAGTGCCTTTTGAGAGAAAAATCAGAGAGAAGGAAAAGCGGTGAGTGCTCACTTCGATACAAACTCCTCGCTAAAACAAAGTTGCATTATTTGGAGAATCGAATATTGTTCGATTTTTACTTTTTACCATATTATTGTCGCTCGGTATCACTAACGTTACGGTCTTGTTGGACGTCGTGTTTTTGGTTGTTGTTACGTTTTAAAGCACGTACAATGATTTAAAACAAAGATCGAGTGGCTCGGTCGCAGAGCCGAGGGCAGCCCGTGTCGGCGTGTAATCTCCGACAGGTTGTATTTTCAAACCTATGGGACAGTGCGGGACTCCGGGAGCCTCGGACCCCCCCATCACCCCCCCCCCGCCCCCCTGCACTCCGCTCCGCTGAGCTCCTTTAGAGAGAATCCAGCGCCGCGGCTCCTGATTAACTTGGACTCAGTTCGTTAAAGAGCCGCACGGCGCCAGTCGGCTGATGCGCCACAACAAGAACAATCTCTTGTCTCTTGTTATTTACCCTGAAGTCGTGCATGCGCGAGCCCCCCCACCCCCCTCTCTCAGGAGCCTCATGTGCGGCTCCGCTCCACTTGTCTGCCTCGGTTATGGCTCGTTGTCAGAATTGAGTATTTTAGATCTTTTTAGACAAACAGCTGCTCTCTCCGGGCCGGAAGGAGCGCGTTGTGGGCTCAGGCGTCACTTGGACCAAAGCGGAGTCACTCTAAATGAGAGTGTCACAGACAATGGCGGGTTTCCTATTGACTCCACTTCTGCTGACAGGCACACGGGACCCTTAGACACATTGCGTGTATTAATAATACACCTAATTCGTCAACATCTTTGACGACACCAACGGCAGCATATAAATCACATTAAGATAAAAGTGTTAATGGGAGAGACAAACATGCAACAGTAGAAGGTTCCAGCGGCCTGCGCGTGTCAGGTCACGTTATGTGCCCTGGCAGCATTTGGCAGCGTTTGCACATCTCCGCTGAGTTGCACACTTGTTGCTTGGTTTCTATCGGATGGATGCGGCCACGCAGGGTCAGCAGGCCCGGCAGCAGCAGCAGCAGCTCCAGCGCAACACAGCGCGCCATACCCGAGCGGTAAAACCTGTTCTAAATGAGCAACACACCTGACACCAACTGTTTCACGCCGCGCGGGCTTCCACGGCAGAGTCGGTGCGCGCCGGCTGTGCGGGATAATAACCTGAACACTTGTAAATAAATGCCATTGAGCGTCACGCTTCACATGACAAACATGTAGACGCAACACGCATTTCTGCCACATACGTCACGGTTATTTTGCGTGGTGTATCTGCTATAATTAGGCCAGCTGACTTGTTTGGAATGCTGCACTTTGAGATTTATGAAATGACAGAAGCGATGTAGGAGTGCCGCGGGAGCGGCGCCGGTTTGTCAGAGTTTGGAAGCTACGTGCAGCTTTACTTGAAAAGAAGAAGAAGAAAAAAGATTAGCAACACATGGAGGTGGACATGGGGGTTTCTGCCGGAAAACTCAATTGACTAATTGTATAAACAATGCTTTTGCAAATTAGTCACCATTTATTTATTCTGTGCCGTTCCCATTACGCGCGATTTAAAAGTCATTCAGTCAGGGCAGGACGGCTACGAGCTGCTGCTGGATCTACATAGAAGGGGCACTATGCCGATAGATTAGCACATTCTATGTGTTGGGGATTAATGAAAGCAGACAGGGAGTTTGTTCCTCAGACTCGTTCTATGGTGAATGCGCGTGTTCGATGTGGATGTGGAGGAGAAGCAATCACCTTGAACGGAACAAGATGCGCATGACGAATAGCAACAGGAGTTTAATCCACACTTTCCACACCCACGTTGAAATCATTTTATTATATATTACAACCAGGAAATTGTGAAAACAGGCAGGTTTGGAAGTTTTAATTTGACGTATTTGGTGCAACCCCCCCCCCCCGTTGTCTGGGGGTGTGTTCCTATTTCAAGGGAATTAAATGCTTGCATGACCCTTTCCACAGTAAGAAGTGGACTCAAGCCTTTCCGTGTCCTTGATCCGTCCGCTCAATAAAAAACAGCGCAGCAGATAAAATAAGCGAAAATGAAACAATGCGTAAAAAACGCCTCCCGTCCCTGTGATTTGGCCCATGTTTCAACTATCTGGCCCGAGGCCGCTCCATTTAAATGGAAGCGGGGAGTTTTTCCGCATAATTCTCCTAAAAAGAAAAATTTTTTTTTACTCCCCCCTTCGGAAAGGGTTCCTTTCTCCCTTTTTTTTCCCAATTTTCTCCTGCAATCTTCCCGAATATTCTCTCGGGTTTTTTTTGGCGGCTGGAGGGAGCCCTTGGGCCCAGCCCGTTTAAAACCTTTCAAAGTCCCCAATATTTCCCCCTGTAACAGGGAAACTCCCCTTTTCCTCTTACTTTTTTCTAACTTTTCCCCTTCTCCTCTTTCATCCTCATGGGGCACCAACCCCCCCCCCCCCCCCCCACACCTCCTCCGCCTCTTCCTCCGCCTCCTCTCCCTCAACTCCTCCACTTCCTCGTCCTGCGAATCCTTTGCAGTTCAGTTCATTCTACTAAATGACACATCTCATTTCTCACTATCAGGAGACGCAGTGTTTCCTCACCACACACACACACACACACACACACACACACACACACACACGACACACACACACACACACACTGTCCCTGTAGCAGGTGGTGGAGGGGGTGGTCAGGCATTATCCAATATGGATAACAGTTTCTTCAGTGACCTCCCCTCCAACACCTTTTCCAAGCTGTCCTGTTTGCAGCCAATGATGGAGCCGTCTGTTGGTGTCACCGGCTCCAATGCTGCTGGTTGTGGCCTTTTCTTAATCTTTGGCCACTGCAAAAGGACGTGTGTGCAGTACCAAGGCTGTTAACTGACTGACTGAATTTGCCAGCGTGTGTTCTTATACTGTGAAGAACGGAACATGGAAGGTGAAAGTTGGAACATGGAAGGTGAAAGTTGGAACATGGAAGGTGGACCATGGAAGGTGGAGAGTCAGTGAGGGGTTCTGAATATGCAAATGACCATTTAGAGTGAATGTGTGGTTGGTAGTGAAAAGCAGGCTTATTGCAGTCATCAATACTGATAAAACGGGAGATTTTGTCAGTATTGAGAAAATTCAACATGTACCATTTTGTTGGGGCATGAACGTCTCTTTTACTCATATAATCTGTCCAAATCCGAGGCCAACAGAGTCCATTAAAGAAATAAACCAAAAGTCATTGCTATTTAATTAATAGCTGCTATGACAGTTTTACAACTAACAAGTAATTATGTTTACGTGTTTGTTGTATTTATATTTAATACTAATAATCATCATTATCGTATTATTCAGTTTCTTTCAATTTCCAACATTTTGTCACCATTTCATTTGAATATATATTTTATAAATAATAGACTTTAAGGGAAATAAAACAATAACAGTCCTTCTATCACCACTTACAAAGCTCACTAATTATCTTCTAAACTAAGCTAACCTTCTGTACCTCCACATTTACCACAGACATGTGTAATAAATCTTCTCAAACAATTCTCGGGTATTAAATGAAATGTAAAATTCATACAGTAAAACATTAAGAATTCAATTCGTATTTAAAATAATGCATGTCTCCTACATGCAACGGTTCACCTGAGCTAGGATGAATGACAAGTCCTTTTTTAAAATTATAATAAAGGTGCTGTTTATTTAATCATTTCATTATTCACATGTCATGGTACACTCGGCTAAAGCCGAGTAGTATTTACCACGTGTACTACTGACCTCAGCTTCGTCTTCTGGGCTTCCTGCAGAAGAGAGCCAGTCAAACATGAGCGGAGCTCCAAGCCGACTCCTATCGGCACCTTCACCCCAGTGTGCGATCGGTGGAGGTAAATGGGTCATGGATTATAGCAATATGCTATTTTCTTCATTTATTTTTACCCAGGGACAGAGGCCTTTTGAGTTGGCTGACTGGTTCATCCGTGTGGCAAAGCAAGGGTGTAAAAGGGGAATGAAACTAAATAAACTAACATTTACTCGTTTGAGGCAGGAGATGCAGTTCACGGTTTTAGATAAGAACAGCTTTATTTTAAATAGTTTGCGTCTGCGTCGTTGCGTCGACACACTAGTTTCAATTCAAGGTGAATTCATGAAAAAGGGCATTCTCCAGGGCTTCCTTTCGGGTTGTTTGGGGCCCCGGCCACGTTTCAGCGCCTCGTGGATCGAGTGCTGCGTCCACACGCTGCATATGCTGCCACTTACTTGGATGATGTCATTATCCACAGCACCACCTGGGCGCCGCATGTGCGGCAGGTGGGCGTGGTGCTGGAGTCGCTGGGATGGGCGGGGCTCACCGCCAACCCGGGGAAGTGTGCAGATGGACGGATGGAGGTCCGGTATTTGGGGTACCACTTGGGGGGCGGGCAGGTGCGCCCTCAGGTGGACAAGACTGCAGGGCGTGGTTTGGCTCAGCTGGAGAGGGGGCGGAGAAGGGAGTGGCTCGGGGAGCGGTACCAGGAGGGGGCATAATTGGCCTCAGGTGGAGATAATCAATATGGAAGTTCCATTTCATTTAACGAGGTCTCACTCTTGAATGAATGGCCGCCTGCCTGCACAAGAATGGATTGTATTTTTAAATAGAGGACGGGGAGTCTGGGAAGTCTCCTAGTGTCCATCAGGCCAGATCGGACAGATTTGACAGAGGCTAGTCTAGGATTTGCGTGGCCAGACTTAAAAAAAATCATGTCTCTGGTATTGTTCATATTTGTATCCGGCCCGCAGGCCTTAGTTTGGGGACCACTGAATTATTGCTTATTATTATTGCTTATTATCCACAATTGGAAACTTAGCCAACATATATCATTACGATGGATAATTAAATACCTGCCTTATAGCGTTGTTGAGGCAAATTGTGCTGCGTAACCCTATGCTGTCAACCTTTCTTGAGTGAGCACACGTGTTCATGCATTTCTATTCTGTATACTGCAATTCTGCAAACTACATCCATTTTGCGCATGCGTTTCCAACTTCCTGAATGTGTTG